GCCGCCGCGCCACCAGAGCACAATTTCTGTTCTCATCCTGAAGCAAAGTTCTTAACCTGAGGTACTATTTCTGGGTTAGCGGAGTCTGTAACCTGAAGCGTATGTAACCTGAAGCGTATGTAACCTGAGGTACCACTGTACTCTAATGGGAAGCTCACAAGCAGGACTTGAGTGGCACAGCAACTCCTCCCTGAGTTGTTGTAAGTAAATGCCTATTCAAGCTCCTCAAAACCCACAGCCGCTTTCACTTCATGATGCTCATTCCTCTCCATGGCTAACAAAAACCAAAATAAATGATGCAAAGGAAGCAAAATTATGCACATCAGATCAATTTCCACAATGGTTTCACAGCTCAGAGAATTCAGCTTTTCCTGGCCCACAATTTGGATTTCTTGGGAGCGGAGCTTTCGTTGTCCTTTTAGAGTTGAGTACATTTTGCCTTTCAGTTTTTTGAAGGGATGCTGAGTCAGAGCAATGCTTTTAGCTTAGCGTGCTGCCTCTCTTGACTGCAGCCAGTCAGATACCCCTGGAGAAGCTCAGAAGCTGAGAAAGATGGTAAAATTCCAGTAGTATAGTGGCAAATTCAGATGTGCAAATTCATGACAGTCATAGTCAGGGCCCTTTCTAAGATTGTACAATAAAAGGTAAAGGTACCCCTGCCCGTACGGGCCAGTCTTGCCAGACTCTGGGGTTGTGTGCCCATCTCACTTAAGAGGCCAGGGGCCAGCGCTGTCCGGAGACACTTCCGGGTCACGTGGCCAGCGTGACAAAGCTGCATCTGGCGAGCCAGCGCAGCACACGGAAACGCCGTTTACCTTCCCACTAGAAAGCGGTCCCTATTTATCTACTTGCACCTGGGGGTGCTTTCGAACTGCTAGGTTGGCAGGCGCTGGGACCGAGCAATGGGAGCGCACCCCGCCGCGGGGATTCGAACTGCCGACCTTTCGATCGGCAATCCCTAGGCGCTGAGGCTTTTACCTACAGCGCCACCCGCATCCCAAGATTGTACAATAATCTTATACAATAAAAGTGTTTAGGAATCATAGAATTGTAGAGTTGGGACCCTAAGGGTCATCTAGGATGTATTGCAATGATCAGTGCAGATCTCCATATGTTGTCTTTCAGCTAGTTACTGTTTTCTGTGCACATACGTGGGCAATTGATTTTGAGGGTTCCAGTATCTTCTTTTGGAGTGACCTAAGTTGTTTTCATTGAAATGTCATGGTATATAATGGAACCTGCACACCAGTCTCTTGAAACTGAAGCACCGGGTGTTTTTGATGCTTGTAAATGCTTAGCTTTAGAGCAAACAGAACAACAACTCTTCATTGTTCTTCCCCAGCACCTACTGAATAGTGACTCTAAGAGCCATTCCTCCATGACTGACTCAACTGCTTTCATTCCAGTCAGCGCAAAGGGTGAGGAGACTTCCTCTCAGTGGCTAAGAAGCTCACTTTTCATGCTGTGGCTGGGTAGCTCTAGGATGTTGGAGACATGGACCCTGCTTAAGAAATAGTAATGGGTCCCCTCAACCTGGACCACTATACCTCTGTACCCATAGGAGTCTGTGTGCACTTGAAGGTTGGGGTAGTGGTGATTGTGGGCACTGCAGCCAAGAACTTTTTCTCCTTATAACAGAATTCAAGACCATCCAATAAGCTCAATGGTGGAAGATTCAGGACACACAAAAGAAAGCACTTGTTCATTCTGAGCACAGTTAAGCTGTGGAACTCGCTCTAACAAGATGTAGCGATGGCCACCAACTTGGAGGGTGCTAAAAGAGGATTAGACAGGTTCGTGGGGGATAAGACTGGCACACTAGCTGTATTCTGCTTCCACTGCTGGACACAGCATGCCTCTGAATACCAATTTCTGGGAATCGCAAGTGGGGAAACTGCTGCTGCCCTCAGGTCCCACTTGGGAGCTTCCCAGAGGCATCACTGTGAGAGCAGAAGGCTGAACTAGATGGGGTTTTGGTCTGAACCAGCAGCAGGGCTCTTCCTATGTTCTTAAGTGCACGGTTGGCAGACTGAACTCTTATGAGCCCACACTGCAGATGTTCCCCTGTGGTAATAGCAGGTCTGCATCATTCGACTGTATCAACTTCAATTTTCATCTGAGGCAGCCGCTGAGATGCTCATTAGGATAAAATCCTCCCAGTTGTCTCGTACAACATGCATTTGGTTCATCACTTTCAAAAGCTTACATATTCTCAAGGTGCAAGCAGCTCAGTACGGTTCTAATATATTTCATTGGTATGGCCCATATATCAGTGTTGCCCAAGGACCAGCCTCCGCCTTGAGGATTAGCTAGGGAGCGAAGAATGGCTGTCACAATGTCACCTCAATTGGATAAAGGACAAGATTCTGTAATGTGAGAACATAATCTCTTTACTGTCTTTTTTTTTTTTTTTTTTTTTTTTTTTGGTCTGGGCATTTCCTCAGTCGGTTTGGGAGAGCAGTAGGGATGAACTGTGCTGCTTTGTATGCAGAAGGTTCTGGGTTCTGTATGAGAAATGACAACAATAATTTTATTGTTTGTATCCCACCTATCTAACTGGGTTGCCCCAGCCACTCTGGGTGGCTTCAAGCATGAAACCCTGGGGAGCTGCTAACAGTCATTGTAGACACTGCAGTCAGGGCCCTGCGCTCCCGGGCTGGCTGGAAAAGGCCTGAAAGGCAGGGAACAGGTCTTCCAGGACTTACAGCCAAAATGTAATACAGTTGCAGGAACTCTTCTGTCCCAAACTAGCCTATACTTTTTTGGGCGAGGGGTGGTTTGGATGAATATTCTGCCTTCTTAATGGCTCAGGGCCCCAACAACTGCCCCAATGTGACAGTCAAATGAGCCAGATGCCAACAGCTACTTAACAGAACTCTCATCTTCAGCAGGGCTAATATGTTCAAAAGCCATTCTGTAATTGAAAAAAATTAGTTACATGCAATGCAGTCTACCTGAGGTCACATGCAAATAATAAAGAGATATATGATCATGCCAGTGGTTATGACTCTTCCCTGCTGATGATATATGAAATTCTATGAGAATCCTTGTTGCCCTGGCCATGTACCCTCAAGCCACAGTCATCTCTGGAAAATAGGTGTTTGCTGGTGAGTCTACTATGTCCTTTGCCACACTGGCTTTGCTGGCTAGGGCTGGGAGTAGTCCAAAACATCTGGAGGGCACCAGGCTATCACAAGCTGGCAAAGTGCTTCAGAAACTCATGTTGGCCAGAGATGATGTTGGTGAGAAGAAATGCATGTGTTCATTTATCAGTGGTGCCTCTACCACACCACTTTCAACTCACTTAAATAATGTCTCTGTGCAGCCTAAAAAAAATGGAAAGGGGAAAATCTTTCTGCTAGGCTGAATGCTAACATGTGAAGATGTCCAGAAGGGCATTTCCTGATATGGTTTCCTGCTTTTTTCCCTATAGCTCAGCCACTCTCTTTCCTACTGTGCCCCAAGAGATGTAATTTTGCCTTCAGCAGCAAACTGCAATAGAGCTTTCCGCTTGTTCACCCCGCTAATGACTGACTCATAAAATGGTACTCTGTTGCAATACAAAACATTTAAGAAGATAAGATCAATACATTCAGGCGATGCATATGGGTTGAGGACTTGTATCAGAAGCATCCCCGCTTGGTTTCAGAGTCACTCTGTATTTCCAGTTCAGCTTATTATTCAGGACCAAATTAGATCTGTTAAAAACAAAGCTCTTTTTTCCCTTTCTCACAGAAGTGGATCAAATTTGCAGGCATAATAGCCCTCCAGTGGATTAAGCTGTACAATCTGTAGGCAGATATAATCATGGGGTTTTGTGCAGGGCAGCTTTAAAGTTTGATTTTTAAAACAGAAAAGAAAGGAAATCTATTTTATTTTCTGTAAGACTTTGATGCAATTTACAGGTATGATCACCCTTTCCCCTCTGAGGGCACAAAGCCTGCAAAATTTCAGAATTATAGCTGCAGCTGTTCTCCAGACTGCCACAGGAATGTGGCCCTCCAGGCCTTCCTATCTGGCCCTTGAAGCTCTTTCCAGACCAAACCTCCCATTGGCACTGCTTCATGTCCTAAGAGTTCTTGCCTGGCTGCAATGCATCCTTGAATTCTGATAATGCCTCTTACTTGTCTGGACAAAATATGGGGGATATATGAGCATGTGTAGTAACTAGCCCACAGTTCAAAGGTAAAATTGACATCCATTGCTCCACCCACTTTTGCCTCTGGCCCTCCCCACCACTGGCATGTGGCCCTCAGAAAGGAATGCGGCCCTTGAACTGAAAAAGGTTTTCCTTCCATACTTTACCACTTGGGGATTGGCACCATAGAAATCATAGGAGCAAGGTAGAGAAGGGAACATATATCCCAGGAAAGACTGGAATGGGGAAATGTTGGAGGGCGGACTTCAAACCTCCATCATAGACTTGGGGGGGTGGGATTCATCCACTTTCCCCTGGAAGCAAGAGATCTCTGTTGACTTGAATAGAGGAAGCGGTGGCAGTGGATAAAAAATGGCATAGACCTACATGTCCGTTGAAAATCTCTCAACAACTGCATAAGTAATGTATAACATTCAGGGCTTTTTTCAGCTGGAACTCATGGAAACTCAGTTCTGGCACTTCTCGGGTGGGTGCCATTCTAAGAGAATGAGTTCTGGCATCTCTTTTTCTAGAAAAATAGCACTCACTGCTTATTTCTTTCATTCATTCATTTTCTATACCACACTACGTCCGAGGATCACTGGACAATTTACAATATAAAACCAAAAAAGGATGTAATATAGTAACAAACAAAAACAATAACACACCCCTTCTCCCACACAGTATATTTATATGTGGTTTAATTCTGTTCTTTGTTGTTTAAATAACTTCTGACATTTAGAAGTATGTTTTCCCAAAGAGAATTTTCTCCCCTTAAGCATCAATGAAAAACATTACAGCATATTTTATTCTTATAACTCATATATCCTTATGCTTTTCCTTAATGTTTTCCACTTTACAGCTACCTAGACAGCTTAGATCGAATCGGAGGTGCTGACTACCAGCCTACAGAGCAAGACATCCTTCGAACCAGGGTCAAAACAACTGGCATTGTAGAAACCCATTTCACGTTCAAAAACCTCCACTTCCGGTTAGTGTGATGTGAAAATGCAAACAGATTATCATGACTATGCAACTTTCAGCTGTGTGGGATTACAATCTTTCTGCTCAAGCCAGACAACAACCCTCGCATTTCATAACCGTGCAACATAGCACAGAGCAGAAATTGACAAAGAAAATTCCAACCTGAATTAACAAACGGAGGCTCATGCTATAAATGTGTAATATGACAACGTCATGAAACTTTATTTATTTATACACATTCTTTGTAGCCTCCTGTCTAAAGACATTGAAAAGGAATGGACAATGGAACATGAGGTAGAAACATGCCAAGCAATAGCATCAAAGAACTCTGAAACCATCAAGATTTAAACAGCAAATGAAATTAAACAGCAGCACTAACCTTCACACACAAAAAGTTCCAAAATCAAAATGACTAAGGGCAAGTCCAGGTGGGGTGTTTATTGACACAAAAGTTGGTTGTTAGCCCGCACTTTCTAGTATCATTCTCCTGTCACTTTTCTACTACTAAGAAATCTGAAAAGAAAATGTGATGGGAGATGGCACTGATGTGTGTGTAATGACCACTAGCTGGCAATGACTGGGGAGCTTGAGGCCCAGGAGCTGAATGCAGCCTCCAAGCCTCTCTACCTGTTCCTTAGAACTCTCTGAAGGCCACACCCATTTCCTTAGGTTGATCTATAAAAAACAACAACAACTCCCCTGTAATTTCCACCATCAATTCTAGGCCTGTGCTCTGGCGCAGCAGAGAACGATGCTTGATCTTGTGGGACTAGCCATGCAATTCTTTGGATGCTGGGCATAATGAAGGGTTGTGTTTCTTCCTCAGGCTGTTTGATGTTGGAGGTCAGAGGTCAGAACGTAAGAAATGGATCCACTGTTTTGAGGATGTCACAGCAATCATTTTCTGTGTCGCGCTGAGCGGGTATGACCAAGTACTCCATGAAGATGAAACTACGGTGAGTATTCTCTGGGCGGAAGAGTTCCCTGAGATAGCCTTGCTTTTCTACTTACTTCATTTGTTCCAAGGTCATCTCACAAACCGTCCTCAGTTCTGAGACCAAAAGGATCTAACAGATATACTTTATTACTCACATGTCTTCCTTTGACTCTTAAATGCTATGGAGACCCCATTCTACCACCAACAGCTGGATTTAAGTCTTCCATTCCGCAGGATGGCGTTAGCACAGGTAACTTGCACGCTTTCACCTGGTCCAGAGTTTGACCACAAAATCTGTTCCCCTTTCTCTTTGGCTATCCCAAGCTAAGTGCCCCTGGTGCAGAAGGGTCTCCCTTTGAAACAAAAGCTCTTCGGGAACCCTAAAGAGTGGTTATTCTTGATTACTGTTCTGCCCACAGAGAGCTTGCGAAACAGAAGAGGGGGTGGATATGGGTTCCTGACCCAGAGTGCTTATAGCATGACAACAAGCCAGAAGAGAGTTAGAAAAGGACAGGCCTAAAAAATGGAGGCTGAATGTGGGCAAGTGACATTTTTACCCAGAAGTTCTGATGATGCCTGTTCTTTGGTTATTGTGTGGATTCATGCAATCACTTTTCCACTTTAAAAACAAATGTCAAGGCAGGGCCGGGGCTAGGTGCACATGAGCAAAAGGGGTGTTCCCAATAGGTTGAAGAGGAGGCTGAGAAGTTGTTCATTTGTTGGCTTGCTATGCATTTGGCAAGAGATCATATTTCATGATTGCTGATGAGGAACAAGCTTTTGTCTATGTCTGGAATTGTGTCCCGTGCGCAAGAGATGTTTTCTTGGGTCTTTTTGGTGCCAAATCAGGAAATAGAAAATAAAAGGTAGAGAGAAAGCTTATCTCTGAAGCAGTGAAAACTCTTATTTTGTCTGATGGTTGCAAGAATTTTACAGCAGTGTTTCAAAATGCTTAAAAGAGGAAAACTATACTGTAAATGGAGAGCACAGGGGTAGAGGGGCAGCCCTAGCAGAGGTTTAGCTCCCATGAGAAGACACTAAGCAAAGAATGTATCAAAAATATATGTAATGCGATTGCAGCTTTGTAGTCTTGACCTTAAATGTATATTACTTGCCGTGTTTGAGTGTTATGTCTGAACTAAGGATAGGGGAGAATATTGATTCAGTTCACATTTAAAAGCAAACGTACCAAATGCACACTTTCTGAAACAATATGCAAACCAAAACAAAGCTGTCCTTCAAAATTTGCAGTATTCCAAATTTTGCAATATGGTTCTTCATCCATAAATGTACAGTCATACCTTGGAACTCAAACGCCTTGGCTCCCGAACAAATCACCTCCCGAACAATCGAAACCCAGAAGTGAGTGTTCTGGTTTTGGAACGGTTTTCAGAAGCCGAACGTCCAGTGTGGCTTCCGCAGCTTCCGATTGGCTGCAGGACGCTACTGCAGCCAACTGGAAGCCACACCTTGGTTTTCAAACGGTTCCGGGAGTCGAACGGACTCCCGGAACACATTCTGTTTGAGAACCAAGGTACAACTGTATATGTTAGGATAAACTGTATATATAATCATATATTAGTGGGCATAACATGCAGAAGTGCATTCTACGTGGGGGAATAGCTTTTGCCGCTGAGCTATGGCCTTCCTTCACACCCTCTTGCTGAACTGGGGGAAGTCTCCTGTGGGAACAGGGGTGATAGATGTGGGGCTTGAGTGTTTAGCCCACAGTCCTCTTTCTGCATTCACAGCAAATGCCTGAAGAGGACCATGGGAGATTTAAAAACAAGTGATCAGTGCTGCTTTTGTACAAGTTGACTTGAACCCCAGCTTCTAGCAGAATTGGAATCAAGGTTCTGCCACCTCTTTAGAATCTGGGGAAGATCAGAGGGCAGAAGTTTTATTCTCTTAAAAGTAATCTGGGGTCTTTTTTAATGGTTTGAAGCCATTCAAAATGAATACATCAGGAAAAAGAGGAGGGAATGAATTGCCTAGTGATGCTTGCAGAAAAGGTTAGCTCATCATGTGCTCAGCTGGCAAAGATAGCAAGGAGTCCTTCTGTGATTCAGCTCTTCCTCCACACTACTTCACGGTTGCTGCTACATTCATAAGCATTTTAGAAGAGGCATTGTTCCCACATTCGCCTTGCATTTTTTATCCCCTTTGAACTACAGCTCACTCGAACTATAAATAAGTATGGAATACAGAAAGTGAAAATAGACATATGGATTCGCAGGTGGGAGAGTGCTCTTACCCTCTTGTTTTTCTTGTGGGCTTCCAGTGAAGATAGCCGGTTGGCCGCTGCGAGAACAGGATGCTGATTTGGTCAAGATCCAGGGATCCTCTGATGTTCTTATTCTTGCAGACACACACAACTGCAGGAGGAGGGATGGAACTGTGCTTCTGATTGGAAGTATATTCCACATAAACCATCCCAGGCACTGTGGCAGGGCCACCTCTAGGGAAGTGCAAGGCCTGGAGCAAATCAGACTCATGACCCACCCACCTTACCACTGTAGGATGTGTCCTCCAATGCTGCCCCCACTCTTATTCCTCCTCTTCCTCCTCTGCTTTTAAAGGGATATACAGGTCCAGATGGAACGCTGCTACCTGCAGTGTTACCTTCTGGCCATCTTCAGTGCTAAAGAGGAGCAGAGATCAAGCTACCACCACGTTAGCACAGAGGGTAATTAGCCTGGGTCCCTCTGCTCAGTTTCCATGTTCAAGACATATTGAGCATTACTAGTGCCCATTGGTGTGGCAGTAGGGAGGGAAGGTAGCACTAGGTGGATCCAGAACCAAAGACAGGCAGAGCCAACGAATTCTAGTTGTGCCCCTCTCCTCCTCCCTGCTGAGTTCTACCAGGGTAACACCAAGATTAAGGGGGAGGAGGAGGAGGATGTTGACAGGCAGTTCCATTGGTTGCAAATAGGAAGGCTGGCTGAGGGTAGAATGATGGTGCTGGGGCCATGCCCCATTCACTCTCATGGGCCAGTCTCCACTGCTTACAACAATCTGTTCTGAGAATCCTCTTATCTTCATCTCTGAACTGCATCATGCACTTTCACTGCGAGCAGGATTTGTACCGTTGCAAGGACCTGCGAATGATTTCCCCGGTAGCGGTTTCTGTGCGTGCTTGTCTTTTGTCCAGTCTGCATTCGAGTAACTAAGCTGCATGGGGGACCATGGCGTTGTTCTTTCTTTACCTGTCAGCCGGTGTCTTTGCGGCCTTCCTTAGCTATAAGAAATAGGTGTCTCAAACGGTATCAAAACAGGATGCGGGCACTTGGGTGGCGCACTCTATAATCAATCTTGCTGAATGGCGTGTTTGAAATACTGGGCGGGGGGAGCTCTCTCAGCCCCTACCCGTCATATGCAGGTAGTGTGATTGCAGTACAAGTTGCTTATATTTAATAATCTGTACTCACACCTCTGTTTTAACCTCTTCTGATTCTTTTTCTAATTCTAATATGGCAGCAAAACTAAAACAACAGTAAGTATTGTTACCATTACAGGAATGTTATGGTTTCCAACTGGAACAAAAATGAAGGTGCTTCTAATGTCATTGTAGACTTGACATTCATGACTTTGCCGAATGGTGGGGAACAAGGAGCATGGACCCATCAATGACTTACGAACTCTACCTTAAAGATGCCTGCACTTGGTCCACACTAAGATACCGTCATGAACACAACACAAATATTTCTTCTCTGAGGGGTGGCAATTCCAACATATTATAAGTATATTGTGCTTTACCATCTTCAACTCTCTTCTTTCCTCCATTTAACAGGATCAGTTGAAATAACCATTTTAAGGTGTGTTTCCCCCCAATACTTGTTTTGAAACCTGGCAAAGGGCGTCAACATCTCTAATACACTTGTAATGTATTTTTGCTTATGTAGAATATACATTCTTGGTGCAGCTTACAGGAAAACCAATGAACTTGAGATTCATCCAGTTAAGAAAACAGTGGATTTTCCCATCCCTGTGAAACAAAACAACATTGGGGTAATTCTACCATGAAAGGATTTCAGACCCCTGTTTGTATTAGCTGTTGCCTTTAGTACTTGTTCCAGCTTTTTGATGTGGTCCATTGGGCAACTTGGTCCAGGACAGCCTGGAATAGAGCTGCTGGATAATGTAGTAGGGGGTATCTTATGGACTGGGCCAGGTAATTGTAATGGCTGTCTTGCAGTGTCTTAAAATTCCTCCATTCAGCTACAGGTGTCAGGTGTGGGGTGTAAAATCAGATTATGGAGTGTTCAGGCAACTCTCTCTCTCTCTCTCTCTCTCTCTCTATATATATATATATATATATCCAAAGATGTTTGTGGTCACTAAGGGAGGGGAATCCACTGGGATAGCACTGAGCTCAACATTTTGTGGAAGGAACAACCCTACCATCAGGCAGACTGAGGGAGGCACCTCAGGTGGCAGGTTCTGTGAGGCTGGCAGTAGGGGTGGGTTGTTGGAGAACAGAACAGCAGGCTCTGCTCCCCTCAGGTGTGGTGGACCCGTGCTAAAGGAACATTTAAGTGCCAGTCCAGTTGGTCTCATGGAATGGGTATGGGAAATAATTTGTGCTCTACCTCAGACAGCAAAATTTATTAGACAGGCAATTTCCTTGGACTAAGCAACCACATCACTCTTTGGGAAAGACTAAAGAAAACCCAAGAAATCTTGCTCTTGGAAACTATGGTGGCAGTGGATTTTACTGCAGATAAAATTTAGGCAAACTAAATTCCCACTGGATTTGCCTAAATTCAACAACTGAGATTTCACACTAGTTTAAAGGGGGGGCGCTGCACAAAACTGCACATAGCATACTTTCACATAAAGATGGGGGCGAGGATTAACCTGGACTTACTCAGCACACCCAACACCTAGAAAGTCGTATAAGTGTCTGAAAACAGGCTAACACCACCCACTACCTATCCTCAGGGTAGGTGCCAGAAACAAAGAGCACATATTGGTGCTGCAGCCAGCACATGGGAAGATGCAATGTTGGTGTGAGAGATC